CCTGGCAACAGCAGCCGGTGTACAACGATGGCAGTCCGTCCCCAGCAACAGCAGCCAGAGCAATGATAGTCAGTCTCTAGCAGCAGCAGCCCGCCTAAAGCGATGTCAGCCAGTCTCCAGTAACAGCAACTTCCTTTCGTCCCGCCTGCTCCACTCGACGTCCAGCAAAACAGGACAGAGTCCAAGGCAAGGCAGGTCCGAAGGGGGAGTCCTCAGGCCCAGGGCAAGCCAAGAACAGTCCTCAAAGCAAGGCAAAAGCAATCCTCGAAGCCATCCATGTCCCAACAGCCTGAGAAGGTTTGTGTCCCTTTAAATTTCTCCTTTCCTTTCCTGAGGCAGCTTGTAGCTTGTTCTTTTGCAGCCTGGCCTCTCCACGCTGACTCACTTCTTCACGCTGACTCACGAGGTAGGCCTTAGTAGCAACTCTTGAGTTGTGTCCAGCCGGCTTCAAAGTCATCTCTGTAATTCTCTATAGCCTTCAATTCTTTTGGTTCCCATTCAGCTTTTGGTTCCCATTCAGCTCCAGAGAGCTCAGTCAATTTGCTATCATACTATAGCAAAGATTCTGGTATATGACACCTTAAATATTTTCCCTAATGATGATTTTTTTTCCCAGGGTGATCACGAGGAGTTCAACCAGTGCCAGACACAATTGAAGTCTCTTTATGCAGAGAATCTTCCAGGAAATGTTGGAGAATTCACTGCTTACCGTATTCTCTATTACATTTTTACCAAGAACTCTGGAGGTGCGTGGTGAGGCTGTTGGGAGATAGTTTTGAGGCTAGTCTTTGAATTTACTTCAACATCTGGGAATCCTTCCTGTCGTGGATGATTTCTGACTAACACTCTTTAATAAACCTTTTGGGCATGTTGTGATCTTTGCCTATTTAACCCAAGTGGTTGTACAGATGCTCCCAGATTCTGTATCTCTTTCTTCCAGCTATTTTTCCCCATAATCGCTGGTGTCAGTCATTTTAGGAGACTTAAAATTCTAGAGCAGGGCTTTTCAACCTTTTCACCCATTGTACCACTTTTAGGATATGGCAATATCCGAGTACCACCAGTTGCCTAGCAAGGTGTCAAAAACATGATGACCAAAAAAAAATATGAAAAAAGTGATAAAGTACAGGTAGTCCTCGACTTACAACAGTTCACTTAGTGACTCTTAGAAGTTACAATGGCACTGAAAAAAGTGCCCCCCAAGCCACAGACGAGCAAGATACCTGCCTGCCCACCTGGCAGCGCTCTTCCTCCTGTCAGAGGTTTTCATTGTTGTGAGCATTTCTGTTGACGATTGGCAGTGGGGGTGGGGTGGGGGGGTGTTTGGTTTTTATTCCCCCCCCCCCATCTGATGGGTGGTTGCAGCAGGTTTTGGTCACTTCACATGACCCTGGGACACTGACCGTCATAAATATGAATCAGTTGCCAAGCATCTGAATATAAATCACAAGACCCTGGAGATGCTGCAACATTCCAGCTGATCGGCGCTTCTTCTGGGCTCAGCAGAAGCACAAGGATCAGTGCCGAGCTCCAGCTGATTGGTGCTTCTTCAGGGTTCAGCAGAAGCACCAGGATCAGAGCCGAGCTCCAGCTGGAGCCTGGCACTGATCCTGACGCTTCCACTGACAGCCACGAAGAAGCGCCGATCAGTTGGAAAGCGGCACTGATCCTGGTGCTTCCACTGAGCCCTGACAGCCCTGCAGCTCCAGCCATCTCTCACTCAGGCTTGTGCGGTGCTGCCACCGGTTCAGCTCATTCCCCTCCCCCACTACCACTTTTCTAGGATGGTCGCGTACCACCTGCAAGGTGCCAATGTACCACAGGTGGTACCCGTACCACTGGTTGAAAAGCCCTGCCCTAGTCCAACCCCCTGTTCAAGCAGGAGATCCTATATCCTTTCAGATAGATAGCTGTCCAATCTTTTCTTTAAAACCTCCAGTGATGAAGCACCCACAACTTCTGAAGGCAAGCTGTTCCACTGATTAATTGTTCTGTCAGGAAATTTCTTCTTAGTTCTAGGTTGTTTCTCTCCTTGATTAGTTTCCATCCATTCATTCTTGTCTTGAATTCTGGTGCTTTGGAAAATAAGTTGACCCCCCTCTTCTTTGTGGTAGCCCCTCAAATACTGGAATACTGCTATCATGTCATAGTGACCAGAACTGGATGCCATCTCACCATTTTATCCTAACAGCAACAACTCTTTGAACTAGTTAGGCTAAAGTAAAAATCCAGTGAGCTCCATGATCTGATGAGAACTTAACTTGGATTTTCTCCATACCTATCCAATACCTCAACTGCTATTTCTGCAGAGCTCTTTACTAAGATCAAGGCTCCTTCTCTTCTTGCCTCCCACTGCTGGGTAGAAACCACAATGCCGCTCGTTTGGAGGAAAGCAGGTCCAAGCAGCTTGTTTT